CCGGTAACTTTTGGCACAAGAACAGAGAGGTGACAGTAAAACACATCCTTACCTACAAAGGATTTTTTTTTCTTGGAACAATTTAAAAACACCAGGAAGTAACAGATTTAGATTTATAACTATATTCTCAAGAGGCRTTGTACTAACCCTTGCAGGCAGAACTTAACATTTTTGGAGCTTCCCTTTTTTTGGTATCAGCATTATGCCTTCATTTTGCWGGATTATATCAACTGCTTCAGACATATTTCAGCATATTTCATATATCAGTATGATATATGAACTTACCCCAACAATGGGGTAGATACCTAGGGAATCAGCTTCTAAGCTACATGATCTGGAATTGCACCAGTTTATTTTGAAAAAAGAAAAAAAAACGATAGCTTGTCTTTTTTGTGTGTGTTTATGCACTTCAGAGTTCTAGGRAAAACCCCAAAGTTTCTTGGAAAACTGAAAAATATATTTCGCTTAGAAGTAGTTCTGGTCCCAAGGTATAGTTTGTGTTTTATAAACCGCTTGATGTTCACTGTTAATGGAATGTTGTTGGAAGATGTCTCATGACTTAGAAGATGACTGAATTATTATGGTGTTGAGCAGAAGCTGATCACTAGCTGGCATTTTTATTAGAGGCTGAGTTTGTGAGCAGGTTGCTAAAGGGAAGACTGACTGAAAATAAGATAAGAGAAATGGAATAAAGATATTCTTTTCATATAGGAACCTTTGATGTAATAAAGGAAAATGGAAGAACAGTAAAGACCTGCCTAATTACAAATGTTCACCAAATGTTAGCAGCTCTTTTAAAGTGGTCTATCTGCAATTTAAACCTGAGAGGATTTGAATTCCTCCAGGATAGAAGCAGTTTGTCAAATATTTATAATTTGAATAAAAAGAGGAGGAAATGTGCAAACTCTTCCCATCCAGTCCGTTAAAGCTACATGCTTGAGGTACACTGTCAATATGGAACACCATCATTTTTTTTGCTTTGGGGAGAGGGGATGGAATATATGAATGGATACTAAGAATGAAAACCCATGCTCAAAGCTTGACAGGAATTTCGTTTTACTCAAAGCTATGTCGATCCTTTTCATGAATATTTCATTGTTTTTTAAAAGGAAGATGATAGTGGTGGTAATACATTACTTTTTTTTTTTTTTTTTAAAGCATTCTCAAAAACTTTCTTTCCTTCCACCTCTCTGCAGTGGCCCACAGAAGTACTGCTTCATAAAAGATTAATAAGATCTGGAATAAATCAAGATTTTGATATATTCCTTAGATGTTAGCATGAAGAAATTTTGTTCCAGTTTGCAATCAGTGGAATCATAGGCTCATATGGGACCATGAAGGGTTCCTAAGTCCGCGTTCATTTTGCATTCTGAGCATACTGTTGAGTTTTCCAGGGAAGTTGGAGAGGAAATCTGTAATTGCTGTGTATAGTCAAAAAGCCAGAAGACTAGCTCGCTCAAGGGCCAGGAAGAAGGAATACCAAACATTTTCTGCTTAAATCAGATACTCATACCCAGCTGCAAAATAAATGTTGGAGTRTCATTGCCATTCAGAGAATTTTTAGTGACCTAGGCAAGAAGTACTTGGTGTCTTAGTCCTAAGTGAACTGTTTACCACATCATACAAACTTCTGTGGTGCCTAAAGCACACCTTGGTAACCTGGACAGCAATTGAGCACTCTGCAGAAGAACAAGAAAAGGAGCATTTGTTTCGCTGTGCTGTTGAATGCTTCTGTGAGCAAATAGAAGACATTTTGAGTGGTGAATTTCTTTGGCATTAGAAAAATCAAGAGCCTTTAACAGTGGCCCAGCACTAACCCTCAGGCAGAAGTTACCATTATAACTGCAATATAATCATATACTTAAGCTGTTTCCTCACTCAGCTTTCTGTTGAAAAACACATCAGAAATCCAATGCAAAGCTAAGCGTATTTCTTGTTTTTGACATGCTTTGAAATGTCTACAGTCACTTTTGTGTATTTGAGGTTAACCTCAACTATATTTTGCAATTAATGTTTGGGGGATTTAGCAGGAACCTGGGCTTGCTGAATGCATGGTGGTGCGTATGGTCTGTGTACACTGTCTATATACAAACCCTTCTGGCCCTGACAGACCCCTGTAAGAACTATTCTGGGTAACGAAGAGGCTGTCTGGTTCTGTTTCTTGCGTTTTCTTCAACACTTGTAATAAATGGAGAGGATCTCCTAAAATAGACCTTTTAAGTGAGAAGACAAAATGGAAGACACTCCACTGGCAGTATCAAAGGACCTCAGATTTAGTGTAGTTTTAAAAGGTCATCTATTGCATTGTGTTCATTTAACAGTGTTCTGTATTGACAGAAGCTGTAGTTAGCAGGAGTTACTGAGGTGGTATTTAAAAATCCTTCCTGGAATCCTTCAATGATTTCAATAATCCTGCAAGTCTTCTAGAAATCTTTCCATGTGGTAGATATTGAGCCCATTTGCCGGCTCACAGGACCTGTTCCTGGCACGCAGGCAACCTGAACTTTTAATATTTAGCTGCTACGGTCTGTATGGTGCAGCTAATCTTACAGAAGGTCAGAAATTAAATGCAGCTGTGATATCTTTACCACAGCATAGCGAGCTTTCTTCCCACTTCTTCAGGGATATGCAACTATAGCATAAGATTTAATCATGCCTATTAATGCTTAAGCAATTTCATATTCAAACGTAACTTTCTTGTGGCCTTCAAATCCAGATCCCAGAAGAAAAAATTACCTAGGTATTTTTTTAATATATGGAGCAACTGGAAAAAATAATAATCACAGAATCACAGAATGTTCAAGGTTGGAAGGGACCTCTAGAGATCATCTAGTCCAACCTTCCTGCTCAGACAGGGACACCTAGAGCACATGGCACAGGGTGGCGTCCAGGTGGGCTTTGAAGACCTCGAGAGAAGGAGATTCCACAACCTCCCTGGCAGCCTGTTCCAGTGCTCTGTCACCCTCACAGTAAAGAAATTTCTCTTCACGTGCAGATGGAAATTCCTGTCTTTCAACTTACACCCATTACCCCTTATCCTGTCACTGGCCACCACTGAGAAGAGCTTGGCCCCTTCCTCCCTACATTYTCCCTTCATGTACTTATACATGTTAATTAGATCCCCTCTCAGTCTTCTCCAAGCTAAACAGGCCCAACTCAYTCAGTCTCTCCTCATACRRGAGATGTTCCAKTCCCTTAATCATCTTTGTCCTTCTCCGCTGGACCCTCTCTAGGAGCTCCACATCTGCTTGTACTGGGGAGCCCAGAACTGCCCCCAGTATTCCAGGTGCCGCCTCAGCAGGGCTGAGGAGAGGGGCAGGATCACCTCCCTTGACCTGCTGGCAACACTCCTCCTCATGCAGGCCAGGATCCCATTGGCCTTCTTGGCCACGAGGGCACACTGCTGACTCATGGTTAACTTAGTGTCAACCCCGACGCTCAGGTCCCTCTCTGCCAAGCTGCTTTCCAGCAGGTTGACCCCTAATCTGTACTGATGCGTAGGGTTATTCATGTTAAGATAATTTTGAGTTGTTTGAATTACAAATTGTCACATTAATTACATTTAGCTGTTCAGATGCAATAAAATGAGTGTTAAGTCATGAGAGAAGAAACTACCACTTACCTTTTTGATCAGCTAAGCACACCTAGCTACGCAGACCTCATTTTGTACTTGGGTTTTCTTTCAAAGTGAATACAGTAGGAGAATCAAGACAGAGCAAGTAGATGCTCACAGTGCACGTCTATCCAACCTCATATCTCTCTGCCATCATGTTGTAAGCAGCCCAGCTTCTCCAGACACTCCTCGTGGGCATGGTCAYCAGTCTTGTTGACCAAGATGCTTCTTCAAACTATGTTCTATAGTTGTTTTGCTCTCCCATGCAGAYGCTTCACTGCAAAAGCATTCACGTAGACTCAGGAGCCTTCTAAACCAGTAGCTCAGCACAGCCCATTAACCACTTGTGTATTTGCTAAGAGTAGATGGAAAGTGAGCTAACACTTAGCCACTYTTTTTCCCTTTTCTGTTACCTCATAAAATAGCAATAAGCAACTCAAGGGCTAGTTTACAACACTTCTTCATTACCACAAAGTAGCTTGATTGATACCACTGCACATTGCAGCTTCTTCAGCACAAGACTTTGGAGAGTCAGGTTTGATGGTTCTTCCACATGCCCCCTGATTTCACTGCTACACCTGAGAAGCAGCTGACAGATCTAGAAGAATGCASTATCCAACTGTGGCCATAGTGCATTTATTTCAAGCACTTGTGCATGAAGTGATGCTTAAGTAGTGAAAGGAAAGTTAGGGTAATCAACTTCTGGGATTGTAAATAGGAGTTTAGGAGTCTTCCCAAACACATGAGGAGTGGCAGTAGGTGAACTTTTGAAAAACAATACTTTGGAAATGATATGTCGAAGTGTTTATAGCAGAGAGAAAAGATATTTGCATCTTAATTACRTGGGCTTTAACTAAATTATTTCGTATAAAAGGATGGAAAATAAGCATGTCAGCCACTCCTTTAATATAGTTTCACAGAAGATGTCTAATAATTTCCTTACATTCATTATTTTTTCAAACTGAGCTCAATATGTCTGAGCTTCACATCATGTAACTCAAGCGACACAGAAAAAGTATGCAAATTTAAGTGAAAATACTCTCTTTTAAAATCCCTTTATAAAAAACAGTGTACATAAATAGCAGACACTTTTTAAATCAGTAACTTCATTAGTTAATAGATAAGAATCCAAAACACAGMTGTTCACATCCACCCAAACAGATTAGACTGGACCATTTTATTTTCARTATTATAGAGCCAGTTCTGAAGAACACTATCTTCATAGAATTTAAATGGAAAAGCAGTACATTAAAAAGTGATATTTTTGATGTCCGGGTTGAGAAAACTGATACTGACAGTTACATATTAATGTGTCAATTATAAGTAAATAGACAGATTTAAAGTCCTACCCCACCAGCAATCTCATGCATCATTCTTTTTTTCAGAAAGGATATAAAAAATGCAAATGTCAGAGCTGTAATGTCAGAACTGTTCATAATGTCAAGTGATCTTGTTGCTTGCTCCTAATATATCCTATTCATCAAACCAGAAACTAGAATAATAATCACAGAGATAGAGGACATTTTATCTTGTGCAGATGGACATGGATTTGAAGTGCGTTTGGAAGAAAAACATTTTCATACTGAAATCTTAATAACTGTTGCCTTCATCCTGCACAATTTATGCACAAATTATTTTGTGTGAAGCTGGTGCTCCTGACAACAACTAGTATTATGGTGATGCCTGCAGGACACTGTCAGCCAAGGAGAACTTACTCTTATAAATTTTGTAATTCAGTAAAACCCTTGCAGACTTGAGAGGGAATTAGTGCCAACAGAACCAGAGAGCACTGAATTCCCTTTGCAGCCAGGGAATTCAGCTAGTAGAATTAATCTTGTTACTTATTTGGTAAGATTGAGTTGTTTTTAGCTTGGGTAAAATAGAGGCCTAAGATAAATGAGGCCTATGTGATCATGCAGCCCACGAATCCCTTGCCCTTGGTCCTAAGAGCCACCAAATTCAGAGGTGATTGCAACCCAATTTGGAAGAAGGTCTAAATTGTTAAAAGCTTTTGCTGAGGTACCTGAGCAGAACACAAAGACCTAAATTAGCATTCCCTGTGAGGGAAAGGCAGGAAGAATTCAGCTGTTAAACAGTCTGTTTGGCAGGGGCCAGCAATCCCATCAGCATGTACTAGTTGTGACACCTCATACCTTTGGTCCCTTGCAGCCAGGACAGAGAGCCCCATGAGAAGGGGAAGYGTTTCAAAAAGGAGGACACAGAAATCAAAGGACACAAATCTCTGAGAAACCAAACAACTTTCATACTGGTGCTTAACAGATTTTGGTTTTAGCTATTCTTTGAACTTCTAATAGTACTTTAAAAGATTGATGTAAAATTTTTCATTTCTACAAAGGATAATTTGAAAGAAGAGTAGCGGACACTTCTCCCAACAGGAAAACATCCCATTATTTTAATTTACAGATGTCAAGAGGAGTAAACAGCCTTTTAAAGAGGATACACGTCTCTGGAATATTAAGCTGATTGAGGTGTTTCCCAGTTAATCTAGTCCTATTCTGAGCATTGATTAAAGCGAATGTTAAGTTAATGCAAACAAGGCTTCATGCTTAATTGATCCAGATAGAAACTAATCCCATCTAGAAGTTTCTTACCACATCTTAAATAGTAGGTTAAAAACCTGCATGCAAAAGAAGAAATGCATAAATTCCGCGTCCTCTAGAAAAGTTGTATTTTGTGGTATTGCTGTTGTTCCTTCAATTACTCTAAGCAGTGTTCATGGAGAACAAGTAGGCTATCTGTACTGCCTCAAATAGTGTTTATGTTACAAGTGGGCAAAGGTTTGTGCCCTGTAGCTGCCGCAGGTCCGAATGAGGGAAAGAACAAAGAGAAGGAGAGGGAGATGTGCACTCCACAGTCAAAGTTCAGAGAGAGAGTTATTCCCAGAGCTGGGTGCCTGGAATGGTCCAGGCAGGCTTTGACAAGATGAAGCTCCCTGAATGTTTCATATGTTATCTTCCTTGCAAACAATGACACAGACGCCACATCCATCACTGAGGCCTTCAGATGCTGTGCCTCCTGCCGTTCTGTATGGCTTTGAGTACGTTGGAAAGGTCGAAACTTTTTGTAATCAATTCCATTAGATTCCTGTCTCTTTCCACGCCATTGATAAACTCCTCTAAAGTCAGTTCCCCTAGAAGGAAATCAAATAAGTTCTTAGAAAGCAATGGAGCYAGCAATCACCCCCAGCCCAACACAAAGCCATCTGTGCCCCAAGAAGAATACCTGTTCCTTACTTTTGCATTGACACACAAATGCAGGGAGAATATTTTCAAACATTTCCCCACTTTGTATCCAGTCTAAAAACTGTGACTCATTTTCTGTGTTCAAAGACACCAAGCACAGCTTTCATGGAAGTCAAAGACAGCAATGAGTGCTCAGCATCTATGGTGGTAGAAGTGTGTGAAAAACAGTTAACTGGAGTTAAGCCTATAGCTGGCAGTCCTGGCCTTAACAGAGATTAGAATGTGATTTACAGGAATTACCAGACATCCCCCCTGTATTGACTAGTAGGATTATTTAGAGCCATAGTAAGATGTAGTAAAAATCAGCTAAGTGGTTTGATTAGAGAAATTCTTCCTACCAACTGAAATGGAGATTTAGACCTTGTTTTGGTGGACCCACCTCCAAAGAGGGTATGGAAGTTTCAAAACAAGTATAAAAAATCTCTTTTTTGAGGAGCTGGGATATTCTTTAGTAATCTTTCTCTTTTCCTGCTCCTTCCTTCTGTTCTTCAGCAAAGGCCTAGGTCATTCCTAGGTATATTTCTGCTGGCAAGCCACATAGGAGTGTTCGTTAAAATTATTCCAGTGACAGTGTTTTTCTCTAAGAGGTTTAAAAAGAAGAGTTTGGTTCAGAGTTAGCTTTTTTGTCCCTCTAAGAACAGTTTAAAGTTTCTTATCAAAATCATTAAAATGAATGGTTTCTCAGTGAAATAAGAAATGAAAAGACGCYAGGCAAACAGCAAAACAGCTGAATGCCACAGGGCAAAGGCAAGCAGCAACCTAAATCACAGGCACTTCTGATGAATGCTTAAGCTAGGTGGCCTCTGGCTCTTTGGGCATTTCAGTACTCCCTGGAATTTTATTGTCCAAGTTTGGCATTCGGTTCGTTGCAGCTTTGGAAGTTTCCTCTGCTGTGGAGCAAGGAAATGATCAGTGTTTGAAACACGTGCAAACCACATCTGCAGCAAAGRCTGCTTCCTCTCCAGGGCTAGGAGTCCTCCCCTGCTTCACTAAGGGACAATGACTAGAGCGACTAGCATAGCTGGAGCTCCACGTGGGGAAATTTGCCCCTTGGAGGGCACTTTGAGTCAATCCTGCTGCCTTACAGTTTTGCAGTTTTTGAAAAAAGCAGCTACGTATGGAAGGCACTTTGAAATGGGAGTGTTATGAGGAGCACACTGAATAATTCATGTCCTGGCACCTTGTTGCTGAAATGAAAGGCACACAAACTATCTTTTCAAGCTCATGGTCCAGCTCAGATACAGCTATTACTTGCAACAAATATATAGGCAAAGCAGAGGCCAAAGTAGGAATAATCATAGAATTGGTTTTAGATTCTAGAATATAAATAGTTGTTTGGAGCCTGTCATTGCATTCACCCTCAAAATTCAGGGAATCCTCTACAGGCTAATCACATGCATCACAAGGTTGATGATTATATATTGCAAACATTTTTTTTTTTTTTTTAAGATGCAATGAATGAGACCACCAAAAAGGACATTAAAGCATCCTAAATCCCGGGCTGGGATTTTACCTTACTCTGCAACATTTTCTTAATATTCCTAATTTGTCATCACTTGCCATAGTTGATGTATAACATAATTGCAAGTAGGAGGAGGATCTTCATGATTGCAAATGGGAATTGAAGAGGTTCACATGTGACATGTTTTCCATTAGAGACAATTCCAAAGCAGTGAATTAAAGATCTGGATTCCAACTGCAAGTCCAGTTAGCTTAATTTATCTGCCATGACAAACAACAGCACCATGTTGTTAACAGCAYATGTTAGCAGTAAGACTTCAAGGGCCATCTGATGTGCTGTCCAATCTTTAGAAAGAGCATGTGCAGCCATGCATCTCCATTGGTTTTCTTATCCATTTTAGACACATAAAGCCCTCACGGATAGGCTAAAAAATAAATACCTTGGTGGCACCTTTGTTCCACTGTGCGGGCAGAGCATTTGCAGTTTGGATGTACAGTGCAAGAGCTCCATGTTTTAGCTGCTACTGCACTAATTCCCATGCCAGGTTAACAGTGCCAGATGGCTTATATTTCACTGAAAATCTAAAGTAATGCTGTTGGCATATGGGAAAGAACAGATTTGGGCCTTTGATTCACCTTAAGCACTTAGTTTTTCAATAGTGTATTCAACTTCGCTCCTGATTGCACAACTTCTTTTTGGGGAAGAAAACCCAGAAACTTCCAATATCCTCCAAAAATAATTCTTACCGTCATTGTTCACATCTATCTTCTGAAACACCATGTCTGTGAATTCTTCAGCAGACATGTCAGTGTGGCCATTAATAGCTTGGATAGCCTGAAAACAGAAATGCAGGAAGTTCTTTCAGACTTTTCTCCATCAAGCAGTGAAAACAAAACACTAGTAGCTGCTGTAATTGGGATGCAAACCTTTACTTCACCAAGCCTTCCAAAGTCACTAAATAAATAGCTATTTCAAGTAAATCTTCAGTAACGAGGTTCAAAATTTAATTAACATAACGCAGCCTGAAGATTAGAGTGCTAATTTACATATTTCTGAAGGTCTTCTGAARCCACATGGCACCTCTGGTCTGCAATACACTTTAGATTCCACAGCAGCATTTACATCTTGYCCTGGAGAGTTCTGCGCCTTTGGAGAGTGCCCCATAGTCTATGTGATTCAAATACAGCATTATTCCTTGCAGCTGAAGCAAGATGAGGAAGCCTAAGTCATTTTTCTACTAGAAGATGTTTAACTTAGTGATGACAAATAAAGTCAGACCGGCAGTTCTAGAAGTTGGAAGAATTTACTTATCCCCTCCATTTTTTTAAAGTCTCCTTTCTACCTTTTCTGTGGTAGACATCCACTATTTGGAGCAAGGGGGCAAATTCATATATTTGCAAAATTTTGTCCAGGTAACTGACAATGACATCTTTGCATTGTAGTGATCATTCTGGTTAATGAATTAGGAATCTGTGTAACCAACAGTCTGGATGCAGCAAACATTAAAACAGATTTATAAGTAGGTAATTACAGAGCTGTCCTCAGAATCAGTATCAGAGTTACTGACTAGGAAAATGCATGCAAATTACATACCTCTGCCTAGTACATGTCCATGCACAGATGCAGTATAATGTCCATGGTATAAATTTTGGTTTTCTACATATGATTTATGCTTAAATGAAATGTGGTATGTAGAATCATAGAATGAATAATAGAATGCCCAAGGTTGGAAGAGACCTCAGAGGTCATCGAGTCCAACCCCCCTGCTCACGCAGGGTCACCTAGGGCACAGGGCACAGGGCTGCATCCAAGCGGGTTTTAAAGATCTCCAAAGAAGGAGATTCCACAACCTCTCTGGGCAGCCTGTGCCAGGGCTCTGTCACCCTCACAGGGAAGAAATGCTTGTAAGATAAGTAAAACTTGCAAATTTATAAACTATACTTATTCTAATGTCTACATATATTGGTCACTTATCAGAATGCTCCTGATGTTATTTAGAACTAATTATATTTAAATATAGTGTATGATAAGCATATTTCTACTAGTGTGGAAATCTTGACCATCACTGGCTTTATCTTACTTAACAGAGATTTTTGAAAGGCAGCAAAAATTTTACATACACAGATGTACAATCTTTTGTGTTATTCAGTTGCATTTCAGATGCTTTGGGTATTCTATATGGCCAACCCCAATATAGCTTTCAGAAGAAAGCTGTAACTCTGTCACAGTTAATTTTGTTGTAGTGCTGAGAGTAAAGCACTGATTCCTGAAGTGTTTAATCACTGGCTAGTACAGCCTCTCCTTAAGTAATAAAACAAATTAACTAGGCAGTTAAAAGGCACTGACAGTGCATGGTTATGTGCCAAGAGTTTTCATGGCTGATAATGATCTGCTGATCATAGCAGTTTGCATAGCTGTAGGGATAAATGAAGACGKCAACAAGACTTCTTAACTTTAAATTTAAGATTTAAATTTAAATGGGCAGGTTTAGGTTAAGGCATGGGCAGTTTTTAAAACCAGTAAGTTAAAAAGAAAAGAGGTCTTTATATTAAAATGATTCTTTTGGGGTAAAAACAGTTGTCTCAGTGCCTTTGGCTGTAATATGGTGGAAAGTATCTACATTGGGCAGATTTCTAGTAAGTCTCAAATGAGGAGAAATCTAAGGCATGCCTCCTCTCCTCATGCCTTTAGAAAGCTGGTCTTTAGGAGGTGATACATCAGCCTTGTATGGCCCCATGGCTGACCTGGCTCCAGTTCCTTTCATTTGGGCAACAGCTCTTGAAAGTCTCCCACAGTGACTAGCCGGATACCAGCAGGAATGCACAATCCAGGAAAAGCACCTTCCTTGTTTACTATAACRTTGAATCCCTGTTTAGATTTTACGCTACCTGCAGCAAAACCTGTAACAAGTTCTGTACATTTAGGGAGCTGTATTAAAGTCATTCATATTTGCAAAGCACCCTGTATTACCTTTTCAATGAAATCAACTACTGAAGTGCAAAACATCATTTCCCTGGGGCAAGCTGAAAAATAGGGAAGTCATTTTGCAAGGAAGGATTATACTGCTTTACTTTTATGGGCTTGGAATAGACCAATTTTCTACAAAATTTTCTACAATATTTGTGTCAAAATGACRCTACATTATTTGATGATAAAATTACTTTCCTCTATTTAATTGCTGAAAACYTGATAATGAGATTTATAGTAAACAAATCCTATAGTCTTTCAATAATAATTAAAATATTATAATATATCATCAAAATAGTCCAAAATTCAATTTATTTATTTTTGTTCAAAAGCTCAGTTTGAGAAGCCACTTTTCCACAACACCTCTAGCACAAATACTTATGACCAGCTGTTTTATTCATTATTTTGCTTCAGTTCTCTCCTGCTTTATAGTATACTTTATCAAAATAATGCCTCTGCTCTTCCTACAGTTCTTCACTTTCAATAAAGCATTATACCTGTAGAACTATAGTTTAAGTAAAATACTGCTCAGATATGTTTACTTCAAYAAGCAAGAAAATAATGGCAAGAATGTCACTAGTGATAACAATTTTGGTTTTACAGCTGTGAAACATTTGGGCAAAGGCAGGCACTCCATTACAACAGATGACATACCACTGTGTCAAAGGCAATATGATGCATCACATTTATTTGCTACTGATCATAACTTGCTTACCGTGAATATGCTTAATAGTTCTTTTTTGTCAATGCATCCGTTTCCATCAGCATCATACAGCTTAAAGTACCATTTCAATTTTTGGTCAATTTTTCCTCGTATAACCAGATTTATTGCAGCTATGAACTCCAAGAAGTCTATAAATCCATCCTAAGAGACAGACAGAGAGAAAGAAACCGTTTAACAACATTGGCTTTCTTTTCATTCTGGCAATTTCTTAAAAACTTCAAATTCCCTGTAAAACAGGGATTTATAAAGTAACTTAATATAGAAATCTCCTGTGATGTTGAAAAAGGATGAGSTCAAATGAAAGCACTATAGAAACAGTCCTAGCACAGACAATTTTGTTCTCTCCCGAGAACTTGATGAGTGAATCTCTTCTGAGCAACTGATATTGACATAGTTCTGAGAAGAAAAACAAGTTTTGGTAGACTTACAAATGCAAAAGAGGGAATTCTAGGTTATTCTGGGTTTGGTAGCAATTAAATTTTTACAGAAGAGGTGCTTACATTCATATGGGTAGGTACTACTTAGAAATGAGAAAGTTTTTTTGCAGTGCAGTCGAGCTGCTCCAGGTGTTGCTCATCTGAGAGATCATGCAGCAAGTATTCTAAATGGTAACCAAGAACTTGGAAAGATCTACAGATATCGTGGTTTATATATATGAATGTCAGGTTTCTCTGACTGACACATTTAAGAAGAGATATAAAACCTCTAAATCATAAATCAGTCTCTAAATACTGAGGATTGGATGACATTCATAGAGACAGAGCATTTCAGATTGATTTAATCTCACATTTTCTTGCTTCTTTCCCTGAAGTATCAAATGAAAACCTGACAAGGATAAGACTTACTCATCCAGAGGTCTAAGCCAGTGTGACAATTCTTCTGTTTCTATAAAAAATGTGTTGAAGATGGAAGAAACAGTTGCTGAATTTGGACAGTACTTGCTCCAAATGTTTCTCATTCACATATAAAAAGAATTCACAGCTGGGAAATTTAATCTTGTGATTTTTACATTGGCCAGAATCCAGGTCCTTCGAAAACCTTGGAAAGACTGTCATCAATTTCAGATGGCCTCTGATTAACAAGAGAAGACTGGATGACTATCTAGTAGCTTTAGTGTGTGTTTCTGTTTGTTTTTTTTTTCTTTCATTTTCATACATCCACATAGATCTTGCCTTTCTGAGGATTGCAATTAGATTTTACTCTAGTCTCCAGACTCTGCTAGACTAAAGGAAAAGAAGTCCTATAAATATGTGGTGCTACTCATTGCCATATTTTGAGTTTTGTTTTCTGTTTAGTGGTGTTTAGCTAGATTTGACACATACTTGACTAGAATGCAGAAGCCTTACACTGCAATACAGTTTGGCAGATTGTCACAGAAGAGGTAAACTGAAAGTTTCAAACACACCAGATTTAATATGCACGCAGAAATTGTACATGAAGAAGATGTGCAGGATGACCCTTGCATCACAGACATTTTGCACAGGTTCTGCTGTGATCCTTGGATCTCCTCTAACTGCAAATCCAGCTGACACCCCTCAGCTACTCTAYGGAATGAAATAAAATTTGGCAGTATATTTGTAAAAATTTCTGTCATGATTAAGTACAGTATTGCTTCTTTTGACATAGTAGGTTGAATTTCCATTTTTTTTTGAAATTTCAATTTTCTTGAATGTCAAGAAACACCAAATATTTAACAGAAACTCTTGGTTGTATTTCCATCCTCTCATTTTATAGATCTATAAGTAACATGGCCAGATTCAGTTGACACTGCTGCTKCTTTACTGAAACCAGAAATTGAAGCTTACTGGATGTTCACGACCAGACTTATTTTCTCCTTTCTTCCAATATGTTTGACCTTGGATTTTGAAGAAACAGTATTGTTTGCTTTCTTCCTGTGTTTTGGTGTCCCTTTTGTTGCTCTTTGGAAAATGATATATCCAGCCTAACCTGATGGATATGGGAGGCTGCTCTGACAGATCTTTTGGCCTGTCCAAAGCACGAAGCGGGGCAGGCCAAGATAGAAAAAACACATCTGAAACACATGGGAGAAAAAGTGCAGTTGCAAAGACCACCAACTACAAGACCATGTAACATGCAAAGAACATCAATCACATGTTAACTTCAGCAGTCTGTGCACTACAAATGAGCACTCATGTTTGTTTTGTCACTATTTCTATGCAATATGGAATCAAAAGTGTTGCACGGATGATTGATAGGAAATAATGCTGTTACTTTTTCCTATTGCTAACCGAAAACATATATTATAAATAGAAAAGAATACTTTAATGTAGAAGGCCATAGTAATCTTGCTACACATATCAAAAGCTTTATAAAGAGAAATACTGTTTGCTGTTGTAGCATTCAAGAGCCTCAGGAGAGTGCATTAAATGATGAAAACATTCATAATGGTAACATATGATGCTCATCCTGTGGTTCTGTGATACTAAGCTGTTATTGCATTATGTTATTAAGAAAACCCTACAGTGCTGATTTACCAATCTGCGGCTCTATAATCCTTCACCAGAGGAGCCTGTACATGTGTCTGGTCCTTGTGTGTCTCCATACTCTGGAAAACTTCACACTGTACAGTGGCCCAAAAGGAATCTTTTGCTCCTTAGGAAGTCAGTCTGTCACATGCAAAGGGCTGCCATAAAACGTGATATGCAGAGTTGATCACCAGTGATGGAGGATGCAAAGAATTCACTCAAGGTCTTTTACACCATTCTTCCAAATGGCTAGTTTGTAATATTTCTGTTAAATCGAGTTTATGGTGGTGAAACTTGCTTATTTGACAGCCTAGGACACAGGGCAGATTTATTTATAGTCAATGTTTATTTAGGCTGACTTTCCATGCTTATACAAAGCTTGCTCTTCCCCGCCTCAGCTGTAGCATGTTATGGTGGAATCCCACAAAAGTCCCAAAGGAAAATGGATCTGTGTGCTCTTTCTCTCCCTTTACCATTGGGGAAATGTTACAAGACACACTTTTAAGATACAATGAGAAAGAGCGGCAAATCTCCTCAAGTGGGCCCAAGAGGCTGCTATTTAGAGAAGCAGAGATGGTTGCTTCTCTGCATCTGCTGAGATGGGGAGCCTCCCTGGCAAACAGTGGTGCCTGGTGCCTGGAATCAGAAGGATGTATGGAACTGGTCCTGAGAGCCACCAAAAAATACTCAAAGCTCCTTTTACATGGCCCTAAGGCCAGACCTAAAGACATTTTGGCACTCTCTGACTTCTCTGGACTCACAGCTTAGTAGAAAAAAAAAAAAAAAAAGGGTCTTTTTGGTCTCTAAGAGCTTGATCAGACAGATGACAAGCATATAACATATCACAACTGTATAGCATTACAGTTGTGTGCATTTGATACTGCATACTTGTTTTTGTTTTATTTTAATTGACAGGACTATATTTTAAGTCCCTTGAAACTGACAGTTTCATTAACATGACAATCACAAAAGAGACTCCAAAACCGGGAAGAGAACTCACTGATCATATAAAACTAATTGCCAGGGCCTTGAGGACACCCATGGGCCCTAAAGGCCCTGCCCAGCCTCWCCAGGGGCCTCCACCCATACACCTTGCCATGGGACCAGTAGCCCATTTAAGCTCAGGACAAGGCCTTTAGTTCTTACCTGAGCTTTGTTGGAGGTAACCCAGTCTCAATCCTCTTCCTGACCCATCTCCCAGAAAGACCTCAGGCTTGTACTGTAGGCAGTTTGTCTCCTGGATGGACCCCTCAGACATTTCTGGGATTCTGCTCAGGCCCTGCCTCATGGATGGACTTTGGTCGCCTGCTGTAGCCTTGTCACTGGTTCCCTGTCTGGCCCCATCTCTTTAGGCTCCTGAAGAAAGGATAAGCTCTTCCCTCTCTGCCCTTCCTGGGGCTTGCACTATGCTCAGCCTCTGCTTGAGGAAGCCCAAGTACTTGGTGCTTCCAATGACACTCTAGTTGCTAGTTCTTTTCAGGAATAGTGACAAAGAGATTCATTTTTTCTTAGATCAACCCTTCCAGGACAACCATTAGGAATTCAGATAAACACACCTAGGTCACTGTAACAACCAATGCAAACCTCCTGCTCTCAAGCCAGTGCCTGATTTTCATGAAGGGTGATGTGCTTCTGCTGGATTTTGTGTTGATGTCTATCACAGATGGAGCAGTGATGAAAGCAATGGATGCAGATCTCTGTCTCCAGCCAGACCCTTACTTTGGGGTGAAAAGCTTTGGAAATGATACATTTGAACTTGCTAAGCTAACTACAGTCATAAAGCAGGTGTGCATTTATTAAATAAACTTTTCTATTCAGTAAACATCTCACTGATTACACTAAGCATAATTTTCCCTTTTTTTCTTTTTAGCACATAATGACCTGTAAAAGCATTAGACTAATTTCAACAGGTTTCAAGGAAGGCAAAGGACCTAGTCAGCAGTCTCACTATGTTAGTAACCCTGATGTCTGCTAGCAAATGCTCCTGAAATTGTGCGACTTCTACCACTGCTCAGCTCTCAGACAGGCAAAATAAGCTCAGTGGCACGAGGACTAGACAAAGAAATATTAAAGCTGAAGGCTTGAGACTCTGAGCTGAGCTTCCTGCTGTTTGTTAGGCTGCAGCAAAGCTGAGCTGGAGCTCTGAAAGGCTGCTTTGAAAGGAAGAGACTAGTGAATTTACAGCTAAATTGGTTTTAAACAACATTTAGGCAATTATGCAACTCCTCGTTAGTATAGTGGTGAGTATCCCCGCCTGTCACGCGGGAGACCGGGGTTCGATTCCCCGACGGGGAGGTGGCAACCCCTCTGGGGTTGCACTGTTTTCAGTGGTTGCTATTGGGATTGCACTGTTTTCAGTGGTTGTTATCAATAGGACAGACAAGCAGCAAGGGGCACAAGCTGGAAAACCTCTTTACAACGACAGTGACAAAGTCCCTGCAATATGATTGCTGTAGGTGACCTTGTGGGGTGCTTTGTGCAGGGGGTTTGTACTAGATGGTCTCTAAAGGTCCCTTTTAACTCAACCATTCTGTGATTGGGTAAATGTTCTCTTCTACCTAGGTCTAGGCACTACTACAAATGATACTGAAAAGAACTGTATGGAGGCTTGATGATTGTGTTTTGAAAACTGACTTATTTGAAGCATCTCGACAT